GGGGTGTCCGGTGCCTTGCTCAAGGGCACCAGGGCAGGGCCAGGAGGTGAACTGGGACCTCTCCAAGTAGCAGTCCACACTCCATATTTAGGTCTGTTTGGGGACTTGAACCGGCGACCCTACGGCTCCCAGTCCGAGCCCCTACTGACTCCCTGCTGCCGTTCATCTTTAATGTTGCAGACCATCTCTCTCTAAATGAAAGATCAGATGCAAGCTGAAAATACAAAGCAACGAAACAAACCCCAAGCAGAAACGTTGAACCTCTATAAGTAGAAGTGCTGGCGTGTTTTTAACGTCAGGACTCACACCAAGCTCCCCGTGAGTGTTTCCATTGAGTGTTTTCCAGCTGGATATCTGTGTGAAGTTGATCTGGGTTTCTAAACTGTTTCCAGGGCGCGGCTACCTGAACAACGTGCGCCTGGTATCAGCCCGTCGGGGTGCTGGTCCCCCTGCTGGCTGGGTCCAGACCTGCAGCTGCCCGACCGGGTACGACGGGGACTTCTGCGATGGATGCTCTGCGGGGTTCAGACGCAGCGCCCCCGCAGACGGAGCCTTCAGCCCCTGTGAGCCCTGCAGCTGCCGGGGGGGGAGCTGCGACCCACTCACCGGAGACTGCTACTCCGGGGACCAGTCGTCCGGAGACTGCTCCGCCGGGTCCTACCGAGACCCGTGGCCCCCGAGAGCCTGCGTGAAGTGCCCCTGTCCGGAGGGAAGGTCCTGCTCACTGGCTGCTGGGTCTCTGGATCCCCGCTGTGACCGCTGCCCCGCAGGAACCACAGGTACGAGTCCTAGGGGAACTCTTTGTCCCTTAACCCTCCGGTATCATTCAATCTACTATTTAGTCCTTCGGGACAAAAACACCCACTGCCAAAAACTTTGATAAAAACATTAAAATATTTCTTTCACCACTTTTTTGGGTTCAATCTTTAAAGCAACTTCAGCCCTAATAAAAAATAAAAAAGATGTAATAATTTTCAGGATTTTAACCCTTTAAATGCCATTTTTTTAATACGTGAAATCGCTGTTGTTTTTCATGATAGAAACAGAGAAAATGTGTTATTTTCAATATAACACATTTCTGGGCTTTTTTCATCACAGTCTTGGATGTGTCAAAGATTAGCAACAAAATTGATATTGGTGCATTATTAGTTTGTGCACAGAGTCAGATTTAAAATAAACTACTCTAATTAGTCATTCGTGACAAAAATGTCCACTTCCAAAAACCTGTAAAATGATAACAGATTCATATTTTTTTTAAACTTTTTGGCTTTAACTCTTTCTATCAACTTCAGCCCACATCAGAAATACCAAATATTAAATTATTTTCAGGATTTTAACCCTTTAACTGCCAGTTTGAAACCATGATGTCAAGTTTTTTAAGAAAATGATTATAGATTATCTTAACAGTAGCAACATTATTATTATTCTCATCATAACCCTGTCTCTGCTCCCTCAGGTGATGACTGTAACGTCTGTCAGGAGGGGTTTTATGGCGGCGCTGCTCGGGGTGACAGCTTGTCGACGCAGACCTGCAGACCCTGCCAGTGTAACGGACACATCGACGTCAGCGTAGCGGGGAGCTGCGATCGAGGCAGCGGAGAGTGTCTGAAGTGTGTGAACAACACCAAGGGTCCGAGCTGCGAGTCCTGTCTGCGAGGGTTCTACCACAGCCGGGCCGCCGACGCCTGCAAGGGTGAGGACAGGACCCCCGATGATTCTGTACAAAGTCTTTGATTAGTTTGGTGTTTCTCCAAAGCAGCGGTTACCAACCTTTTTCAACTCAGGGCCAACTTAAGACATTTTTGTCGCGGCCCACATTCAACCATAAACAATCGGGAGGCTAAATAAAGTGACACGCTGTTAATCCAGTTGTACAGACCACTGTATTTGGCGACCCACTTGCAATGCGCCCACAGGTTGGGAACCGCTGCTCTAAAGCTACACCTAGGGGTACTTTGGAGAACTGCAGGGTAGAGGAGATTATTTTCTAAATTGAAAAGAAGCTCAGTAAGCGTAGTTCCTAAGATAATACACTGTGATGAATTCAAATAAAAAAGGTGCTCGTTCGATAAACAACATCTTATCTTCAATGTTTTCATATATTTTCAATGCATGTGTGTTACTGCATTAGACGGTCCAGTGTTGATACAACCGCAATTTAATAATGTTTGATCAGTTTGAGCTGGAAGCCAGTTTTAATTGTTTTGTTGTTACAAAAAGCAATGTTTCGCTCTAAAAACAGCTGTTATTAAAGTGTTCCTCTCTGGTTCTGTTCAGCGTGTGACTGCAGTGTTAAAGTGTTCCTCTCTGGTTCTGTTCAGCGTGTGACTGCAGTGTTAAAGTGTTCCTCTCTGGTTCTGTTCAGCCTGTGACTGCAGTGTTAAAGTGTTCCTCTCTGGTTCTGTTCAGTGTGTGACTGCAGTGTTAAAGTGTTCCTCTCTGGTTCTGTTCAGTGTGTGACTGCAGTG